TTTACCCAGACTCTTCTCAAGTCTTGAGTTACCTAAGCGTTGGAAGATGGTTTCATTGGTTTCATGGTTTCACATCTTTTAACAGTGTGAATTCAGCACCAAAACAGTTGCTTATTATACCTTAGAGTACTGTCTGCTGTTTCTTTGTTCTAATTTCTGTTCAAGAACAATAAGATAATTAACACCCATATTTTTCCTATAACAAAATTGATGGCTTCCATTTAGTATAAATAGACTTATTTTCCATTGCAGGTGTTGAATACAGTATTTACATCCGTTGGTGCATTTAAACTGTCCTACTTTGGAGGCCTTATTGGCTGGTGGGTAGAACACAGGACTGGAACTTGAAAGACGTATGTTCTGGTCTTTGCTGAGGGACCAGAGGCACGTTACTTCCTTTCCTGCTACCTCAGTTGTCCCATCTGCAAATGAGGATGTTGATGCTGGCTTCTTTCACAGAGCACCTGATATCTCCTAATAAAAATCACCAATCCTTGGAGCATGTTATTGGCCTTCAAACCACCAGACAAATAGATTGACGTGCAGAGAAGTGAAAGCATGAAGGACAGATGAATTGCTACAATGCAGTTTAAGGCCTATTAATATGTGTTGTCAGTTCACAGCTTATGTTTATTAGTTTGGAGCTTTTGAGATGTATAAAGGACTAAATGGTGGAGGTATAGTTTAAGTAGAGCTCATCTTGTTTTGGGATAAGGAAGTAGATGACCTCTTGAGGACCCTTTTAGCCCTGTTACTATAACTTTTGACAGCAGTAAGCATAATGGTATGCGAAAACACTACTATAACACTAGAATAGACTTACGGGCTGTGTCCAGACATGCGTGGATGTTTGCTTCCCCAGGGACAACTAGCAGCAGCACACCTTGTGCCGCCCCTAGTTGTCCATGGGGAATGCCCCTGCCACGTGTCCACTGGCGCACGGCAAGCTACCCTGGATGAAGTATGGGAGGCTGGGGCCAGCACTGGGCTGTCTGCAGCAGCCTTACCTGGGGTCCTGAGGGCCTTGTGGGGCCGCAGCGCCGATCTTGCCACGGGGAGCCTGGCCAGCACTGGAGTGAGGCTCTTGCCGGCCAGGCTCTGGCTTCAGGCAGTGCACGTTGCCGCCGTGTGCGCACTCCGCATTTTTTCTCTGTGGGTTTTTTGACCCCTAGATATCCAGGGGTCAAAAAACCTCTCCATGTTGCTCCCTTGCAGCACAGAGAACAATGGAACGTGCGGTATGTGGCACTGCTGATGTGTCTGTAGTGCCACGTACCACACGACCACACTCGCTTGGACGCAGCCATGGAGACTAACAAAGCCATCCCATCGCTACATGCACCTTCAATTAATGACTGTTGCTTTGACTAGTCAAAGAGGCATGTCCTAAATACGTTTTTAATAAGAAGGCAAGTAGAATGACTGCTGTTTTTCTTGATTAAACATTTGAAGATACTGTATCAACTGAAATCAGATACTTTACTCTAAATAAAAATAGGTCTATATTCAATACCCCATAACCCACAACATTCTCCGTTGATTTACCTTTAAACAATAAGTGTATTGATAAGGAATTGCCATTGTGTTGAAACTGAGATGGTTTAATTGGTTCAGGGATTGTAGAGAAGTCCTTTTAAAAGAGATTTCTGAACAAGTTGCACAAGAAACATTGGTTTAGTTTACATTAGAACTTAGTATGTTGGCTAACAGGGATGCAGCAAATTAATGCCATTCATTAAAATCAGTGGAAATGCATTAAGAAAAACCTTAGTTTAATTTGTTTACAATTTCTTTTTTGGTTAAAAGCACAGTATATTAATTAAGGACCACACTAATTGCCCCCCCCCCCATTTTTAATTTGTCACTTAAAGCAGTGGTGAAAGCATATCATTTGCTTTGACTTGAGCTGAGTCCTTTGAGAATAATTAGATTCCAGCACCTATTTTTGTTAGTCTCTTGTTTGCAAATGTCTGTCTAAATAAAGAGAATTAACTTTCTCAAAAGAAAAAAAAGGCTGACTGAGACAACAAAATGCTTCCAAGCTGTATTCTTTCAGCTAGGTCTAGTGAGCTTGCAGGTAGAAGAGGCATAAAATTATTGAATTCTGTCAGTGCATCGCTGAAAGGGGTATCATGGGGATTCAAGCTTTATTACAAATGGCAGTTATAAGAAGCAGCACTAACCAACTCCAGTCTCTTTTCTGTTCCACGTTGCAGCTCTAATTCTTGCTGATTTGAGGTGTTTGTCAAAACTCCTGTCTGCCTGTTACTTGTCCTGCTATGGGACTGTTGCAAAGTTTATCTTTATTTGTTGTTGGTTTTTTTTAATGGTTATGCCTGTTTGAGCTCATATGCTTTTTCAGATCTACTGATGCAAACCGGATAAGCTGAAATATAGATTAAATTTGTGGAAGATGTTTTTGCTTGTATCCTACAAGATTGTAGAAAAATGAGCCGCAGCTGCAAACTTGCTTTTGTTGCAGTTCTTCCCTGTTCTGGCCCAAGTCTCGAGAAGGCTAGGATTTTTTCAACATGAACCATTAATTAAGTGCTTCAGCATATATTTCAGCATCCTGTCGTTGCCACATAGACAGTCACAGAGAGAGAACTCTTCTAGTGCTGGTTATATCTCCTTGTATTCGCTGCTGACTTGTTTCCTCCTCTATAGCTGTGTGACTTTGTACAGTAGTGAGAGCTCAGAAATCTTCTGCAGATGGAAAGGACTGCAGTACATCTTTCTGGTTACCTGGCACTCGCATTTGATTTATTGCCTAGATGACACTGGAAACCTCCTCATGGATGATCTGTACTGTATTGACGATCTGTATGGTACTGAAATGAGAGAAGAACCTGGGAGTAAACATTAGTAACCTCTTAACCAGTATGTTTATAAGGATAATTGAATCTGCTTTCTGTTAGTGTTTAACAAGGGTGTGTGCTCCTAATCAACACATCTGGCCAGTATGAGCGCAGAGTAACTGAAAGCAAAGATTTGTGAATACCGTGCAAGTTTTTTGGTAAAAATCCATGCGTTCCAGTGTTACTGTAGCAAAATACACCCTCTTGTGGTAAGAAGAAAAAATCTAAGCATTCCTGTTTTCCTCCTCTCCACTCGCTGATCTGCTTGTTACTGCTTTCCTTCACTCATTCTTGTCACTCTCTTCCTTTTCCATTATTTATGCTGCATGTTATTCCAGCTTGTCTTCCTTTCTCTCTTGTATTCTTTCTCCATTTCCTGGATAGTGTTTGAATCTCCGTTACTTTTATGATCCATAAAATACACTTCTTCCCAGACTGGTTTTTTAATAGTTCTTTGCTTGCTTTTATGCTTTTTGATGTTCGCATTTGCTAAACTAACACATACAACTTGAGATATACTTTGAAACTTTCTGCTGATTTATGACAGGTTGCTGAATTACAGGAGTAAAAGCCCAGGTGCAGAGACCAGAATGTTTTGAAGAAAGATTCATCGTGTGTGTCTGCTTCAACAGTATCTCTGCTCAGTTCATCTGAACTGCGCTGAATCTTGAAGGAACTGACAGGGGCTGTGTATAGACTGGACTAGCCCATGGCATGCAGCTTTTCTTTCGTAGTTGATAGTCAACTTAGGGTTGGAAAAAACGCTAGAGAAGTTGGACCAAGAAAGGACAGTTTTACCTTCAAAGAGGAAATGAAGGCCCTACAGCAAGTTTTGCAGTCTATCATATTTGTGTCACAAAAATATAGAAACCACAATCAGTGGTATAAATAATCCAGGAAGGTACTTCAACTGGGAATCCTTTTGCTATTAGCACCAATGCCAGGCAGCTTCAGTAAAGCACTTCTCAATAAGATTAAGTAAAGCAAACCAAGCATGAAATAAAATATGGGATAAGTGACAAGTAAATACTATTTATTGCTTGCTGTGTGCGCCAAATACAAAAATTTGGTACTGTGTGTCCAGAGACCGAATGTGTACATAGCAGTAGAAACTATAACAAGTAACAGGTGAGACCTTAGGCAAAACTCATTAATGTCCTGTCCATGCAAAGGAAAATGACTGCTAAATTTTGTGCAAACCTTCATAATATCATTTAAAAAAAATCCCCAATTTTCAGTTAAAAAAGTAACCCCAAATCCACATTTTTGTGACTAAAATGAAGCACTGCAATCTGTCTATCTATCTGTCCATCTATCTGTCTATATTAGTGGTGTTTCATTTAAATCCTGGAAAAATGTGGTTTTGGGGTTACTTTTTTTAACCAAAAAGTGGGGATTTTTTTTAAATCGGAGAAAACCAGGATCCCTGGTAATGCGTAGGGGTCTGCTTAACTTGTGGCAACACAAAGCAGGTTTTGCAGCCTGAAGAGCCTATTTCGCAGGCATTTCCCAGCGACCCTGCCTGCTGCTGATTGGTGGAGGGGTCTTAAAAGATGGTGAGAAAACAGTTTGTCAGTAGCAGACGGTAACTTCCAGTCATGTGATCTATAGCTGCAGTGATCGTCACATTGTCCTCATATTGTGGTAAGCATTGGGGCATTCTAAAAGAGCATATTCTCTGAGTAATATGCTGGGGAAGTTTTTAGGTTGATTTTGTCGGAAATCACGGCCAATGCAATATTTTCTGGCAATTGCAGCCAATGCTGTTTTTTGCAGTTTCTGTGAAAACCCCAAAACTCAAATTAAGTAGACCCCTAGTAATGAGCTGATTGGTTTATCTAGGGTGAGGCAGCAGTGAGCACAGTTGGACAGCAGGTTCTGGTTAAGGACATGACTCGTAAAAAGGACCTAACATGTTTGAGGAAGAGAATGCTGTAGCAGGTGGCAGATTTACTTGGCTAATGACTTCTTAGCAATGCAGCATTTCATAAGGTCCTTGCATGTGAATTAAGCAAAAGAAGTGATACCAGTACAATATCCAGGGTAGATACATGGAGTAGTTATATAAATGTGCAGTTTTGATAGCTGGAATTAATTATTTCAAAAGCAGCTCTTAATTTTCTTTGCTTTTACTTTTTCTAGGTATCTTGCAATATATTCAGAACTCTCCCACCTAGTGACAGCAACGAATTCGACCCAGAAGAAGATGAACCCACCCTTGAGGCATCATGGCCACATTTACAGGTATTTAATACTTTTATCTGAGAGAAGATTTAGATCACTGCCTGACATGTCTGGTGTTCCTATGCGGCTTTTATTAATCTATGAATCAGGTGGAAATTTGTTCATACAGTACAGTAACAGAATCATTATTTTACCTGCCCATTGTTGTTCTTTGCCACAACAGGGTTACCTATGAAAACAGGAGAAGTCTTTGTGCAGTTTTCAGTGTCTTCCTAATTTAAGGAATTATATTCAGCACAGGATTGAGGGTTTCCCACATGTTCCTATTTTCTTCCAGTTGATTAAAAAATATTCCCATGTGGAGAGTTGCGTACTTGCTGCTCCTTGACACAGCATTTTCTAGCAGCTTTAGCAGGAA